TTTTTGTTTGATTCTTTTTCTCAATTCAGATTTCAATTAAACATATATTTTAGTCACAATCTCATAGTGACTCACCGAAATCCTCGCATCACAAAAATAAATTAATATCTTCTTTTGTTAGATCCTCGTTCAAAGCAAATTTGATGCCCGTAAGTCCTTCTTGGAAATTGCAAACGGCCTTTATTGTCAATGAATCCTGACTGACTAAGAGATTGATATTGACATACTCTGTGACTTTGGGATCCTCTCTATGATCCTAAGCATAGAATCTAAAAGAATGAGTTATTGGAAATATATAAGGACGTGATGCTTAGTAACAAACGTAAGAGATTTAAACACTACTCGTTTTGCGTGACTTAATGGGGTGACTGTTATGTAAATTACGTTTGAAGACAGGGCAGAAAAAAGAAATGGGAACAAAACAATTATTTTTTTCTCTGATAGCCACTCCGAACAGGCCGGGTATTGAAGATAAAAATTTGATCTTGCATGCTCACTCTATCCTCCCACCCACCCACTTCTGCCCATTTAGGCGTAAGTAATAAAATATAGAAAGCAAAAAAACCCATTGTATATGGTTGACAAAAATGGGAATAAAAGAGGACTGAGAAAACCGGACAAAATGAGAGTGAAGAAACCCCATCAGCTGGGTATTATTTCCCAATATCCTGCACTATTTCCCTACCCGACCTTCCCAAGTGCAGATTAGAAGTTTGCTACTAAAACTGAAACAAAACTTTAGGAAACTATAAAAAGACAAAATCTTAGCAATAATATTCAGGTAGAATGATAGCATTGTTAAGTTATATTTAGTGAATAAAGTTAATATCTCAAGGGTTTGCAGTGATATACAACATTGTGTGTGTGTGTGTGTGTTTGTGTGTGTGTGTCTACAACATATCAATGAAATTTTATTGAAAATAAATAAGGCAAAATCTGTGTATAATTTTGGAGAAATATATAGACTTTTCCAAATCTTGTTTGGTGTCTTTAATTTGAGAAATTTTCTCTTAATACAACCAAAAATTGATCATGGTAAAACTGTAAGAATAGGAGAACAAATCATTTTTCAAATGGATGCCGGCCAGAAGTGTCATGTGACAACAATGGGTCTTAGATTGCAAATGTCCATTCTTAAAGCTGACATCCTAGCATGCGGATCCATTAAAGTGGGCATGACCGATTTAGACCTAAACTGACTAAAACAACAGCATCATCATCATCAACAATATCAAAATCTCATGTTAATTAAGCATGCATTAAATCCTTACAATAAGGCAATGATCAGAAACAAAAGTACACAGTCTAACAGACAACAGACCAAATTATGAATCACCAATATATTTCATAACTTAAAAATATTGCATTAATTTAAAAAAAAATCCTCCAATTTTAATGCAAATATGACAATGAAGCCATTGCATTGTTTTCAGGAAAACTCTAACTGTATATGTTCAATTCAACAGCATACAAAATTCAATACGCTATTATATTCATTTATCTAGTATGAAAGGTACATACACACTGAAAATGTTATATAAACTTGGCTACAAAATTGTGCCGTTATGCAGAATTTAATTAATATATTGTAATGACCATAACTAGAATCACAATGACTTGGATACTCTTTTCAGTCTTTGCTTCTACTAAGTTTGTTTTTATAGATATGGTACATATGAATATGAATATGATTTATAATATTCATTTTACAAAGAAGAGTAATTATATTTATCTCTAATGTCCATTGACTGTCAAACTAGCAGCAAATTCTGGCAACCGATCTTAACATGTGTGACCTATTTTCGAGGTAAAGGTTCTTTCCTTAAAACGTCTTTGAAAGTCTGTAATAAAGTTTATAGAGTGTACTGTTTAGCTTATCTTCTACACATATTATGCTCTTATGCTATTACTGTTTGTAATATATGTAAAATACCTACAAAATCATGACGAGAACAGTCCATGTGTGTCCTCGTATCACGATGTCCGCCATTTTGGATTAGCATGAGAGTTTTGTATTTAGAGATTCTATACTTTAACATTTACAATTGTTCTTTCTAATGATAATAAGGTACTGATAAGAAAGTGACTTGCATGTTTTAGTGATAATATCGTTGCATTACCGTTGTATCAATGTATGCAAATCATGTTTCAATGTGACAATAGCGGTCGTCTGCATCAAGTGCAGAACCCGTGTCTACATGATACGATTAAATTATTCAAGACTTAAGTTTTCATCATAAAGTTTAATGTCACATAAACTTGAGCTCATAATGTTCTTATTCGTTTCATAGACAAGATCTACAGTATTCAAATGCTTATTTTTATGCAATTTATGTATTTGTAGTGTTGACATTGTATACCATGCAAAACTATTGTTTACAATGCAATGCATGGCACACCATACAAGACACTGATTTATTACGTGGGTTGCCGTGCATGCAGCGATTGGTTGGATTTCTCACGTGGTGCCTGGGAAAGCTTATAAATACGGGAGCGCTGTCAATGTTGGTCAGACAACTGACGAGTATAGTCGGCGCCTGAATTCAAAGTAACAGAGAAAAGCAAGCTTTCGAGTACGTATAATTTTGGATCTTTATAAATATCATATCATAATAATAAATAATCAAGAATTAATGTATTAATTCGTACAAAAATAGATTGTAACAGTTGTCTCCCACCACACTTGGCAGCCTCCCCAACGTCCTGTTGTTATATTAGAATTACATGATCTAGCTGTACACAATAACTATAGCTCTTATTTATTTATTTATTATTACAATTAATTAAACATTGCCAAAATTGTTCTCGATTTTATGTTGATGATATAACCTCTCTTTCATCGCCCCAACTCCAAACGTTTGACTTTTTTTAAAAATACATTTCTCTCTGCTCCTATATACAAATATATGTAGAACCCTTAAGGATAAAAAAAGGGCCTTACAATATGATGCCAGCAAATAATATGGCGGATATTATGTCCGTCAATGCTACCAATGTACTTGTGATAGCTTAATAGGTAATAATTTTTCTAGCAATCGTTTTGATCAGTATTCATGGGTATCTACTAGCGTTACCATTAAAGAACTCCAAAGTTCTGAACACATATATGAGTCCTGAAGAAAGCGACATGTTACAACAATTCATTTTACTATTCAATATGGAAATACATTTCCGAGGATTAGTAAGAGAAACATGGCATTATAGACCTGCACTTACCTCCAGTAAAAACTGGCTCATGACATGTAAGGTTCATTTTGAAATATCCTATCCATGTGCTGCCTGGATAGCAAGCCATCTAACTTATTTTCAGAATCATCATGTCATGCTTTTATTTTAGATTCATAGTTTGTTTTGCAGCTTGAAAGCCACGAGAAAAAGTTTTTATTTTTGTCACCGATGTGGCATAGAAATCTAGCTGTTTTGCTATCCTTACTTTTCTTATCTGTCTTGTTATCCAAGACTAGTCGTCTCAGTCAAGGTGTCCACGCGCTTGGAACTACTTTTGAAAAAAAAAAATCCTTGTTCTCTTCATCTATGCCTGACGTGTTATTTTTGTCTAAAATCAGACAACATCAACAGCAACTATATAACTTAAGGTCAATCCATCTTTGAGAACAAACCATACAAAAACATTTCGAGACAGACAAAGACACGCACACGATATCGAGCTTTATGGCATCATGCTAGTTCGTTCCACACAGCATGGTCATTTTTATCATATATGCATGTCTAGCTCAGTTCATTTTCAGGTCAGTGTCATTATATCTTGCTAAAACTACCTAACTAGTTTTAAATATTTCGTGTGAAACAAACTATATACTAATTATATAATGTTAGCTACATTTAATGAAGCTGACCTGAAAATTGACTGTGATACGGATAGGATACAATTCCCTATGTTGTGTGAAAGGAACTATGACAGACATCACTGGTCTATACACATAGACTATAGATCAATATACATCATAGCCTCCCAACTCTCTTAACGACTACAAAAAAGTTAGAAACAGCCAGAAATGTGTTATGGCAAACACGTTTCATACTACTTTGCTAAGCATCTCCATTGTGCCCCTGATAAATAAAAAAAATATTGTTATGAGTATTAATTAATTTGCTTGTTTGTTAGTTTTCAATTCTTTTTCTTTTGTTTTCTTTTTTTGTTCTGGTTTCATTACATTTTATTGCAATGATAATTTTCATTGGATTTAAACCTCTTTTTCGGAAAATTCATTTGACCCGATTGGTGTGTACAGTTACTTCAGCATTTTTTTTAGGTCACCCTGATTCATCGATCTTGTAAACATCAAGGGAAAACGATTGGCTATTACAAAGGTCATATTTCTGCTTGCGTGATGGCTCTAATTTGTAAACAACGTTTTTTCTTATTAAATCTTATAGTAAGATTATCTAAGTATTTTAAGGCGTGCGTGCAAATTATCACTTGTGATGCGATGCTCAAATTAGTGCTCACGTAATGCATGACGTGAGCCGCCATGTGATCTAAACTCTAGGCTTAAAACAGCCAGTTGGCAGTAAATTAGTCCAGTCGTATCTTTACAGCTTGAATGTACAATGTAGTTCACCTGCTGATGTCAGATTATTTTGAAGTTCATTTACTTTTTGGAATTTATTCATTCTCTAGAAAACTACACGTGCTTCATATTTATAGAAGTTCTGGGAGAAAGATATTCAGTGGAAATTATTCTGGAATTCTAAACAGAAATATTATAAATTGTGATTCTATCGAGGATCTATTGCCAACAGTACAAAGACCCCCTCTGACGTCATCGCCATCATATTGGAATTTCATCGATTTAATTACACTAGATTCAATTAGAACTGTTTAATAATACCATTTATATTTTTCAATCCTAGGATTAATCTTTTGATTATATTATCAAACCATAAGTCCTATTTCCTATTTTTTTTACATTGTTTTCTAGGGAAATTAATTATTTTGCTAAAGCCTTAAATGCTTGTTGGCTTCACTCTTTTCTTTTGAACCACTCCGGTGGCCTAGTGGTAAAAACGTCCGCCTTGGATGCGGGAAGTCGCGGGTTCGAAACCTGGCCAATTCATACCAAAGACTTTACAAACGGATTTAACAGCTGCCTCGCTAAGCGCTTGCCATCAAGAGGTTAGTGTTAGGACTGGTCGGCCATGTGTAAGGATAATGTGGGTGGGGTGGGGTCACCTGTCACACACATACACACACACGTTTCTTTTGTTACTTTGTACTAGCCTTCACAAAATCATATATACAACAATATTTAATGACAAATAATAAACTTGCCAGTCAGAAGGAATCATTTATCCAGCAATACATTAATCCATAAGCAATTTTCACTATAGCACTTGCCATATTTCCAAGACAGAAAAATAAATTTTCAAAGAATAGTCTAGAAAAAGAATACTCCAACTTATGTGAACAAATTCTGGTGTTATTATGTAATGAACAAAATTTCATTTGACATAAATAAATGTGTTAAAAGAAAAATAGTTCATAATGGTGACGACCCTGCTCAGATAGCGTCATGGAAATTCAACTACAGAACCTTTCTCAGCATCTCAAATACTTTCTAACCTCGGCACAAATTCTAAATATTTCTATGCCTTCTTTGAAAGTCCTAATTTCACGAAACCCGCTCAAAAGTCTTGATAAGAAAACTTGGTTAGACCTCACGCAAAATGCCCAAAGTTAAATTTCCATAAAAAGGAACCAAACTATTTAAAATGCGCCTTTGCGTTTATTGGATAAGAAGAACATAATGTAATTATCTTCTCTCTTTTGTGAACTCTCCATGGTTAGGTTAATTATGTCAAACAATGACCCTGCAAACTAACAATTCTGTTTAAGGGAGACAATCTCTACATAGAACTTTCTCGATACCCTCTTATTAATTACATCCCCTATAAAGTGATGTGTTTGGGAGGGTTTTTTTTTCCTCAACACCAGCGAAACCATCCAAAGAATTCATCACAAATGCTATGAAGAAAAGAAGTACAAAACATTTGTATCATTCTTGACAAATATGATCAACCAACTGAGCTTAACCCCATTGAAATTTTTTTAACAAAAAGCTGGGTTTTTTTTAATAAAATACCTACCAGTTGATATTCTCCTGAATTCACAGGTATTTGCCTGTAAGCTCTTATCAATTCCCTTTTAAACAACAAATTATCCCGACCTTTTATGTTTAATGACGGCTACCAAATCAATCAAAATGTGGCAGACAAACTTTATAGATTCACTTTAATGTGACTATTCACTTTTTTCATTTTCTTTGTACCTAAAATTCAGACTAGACTAGACCCTGTTGAACTGTAATGGGGTGGGAGGGGGGCAAGTGGATCTAAAAGGATCCTAGAGCAACATCTGTGCATTCTTCTCATTTCGCGTGATGAAACCGATTCTGAATCAATCATTATACAAATTTAAGATTTTATCTTTGAACATTTGAGAATCTTTAGATTCTGAAAACAGTTTTTTTATTTTCAGATAATAATTTTTGTTGTTGCTTTTGTTATTGAAATGACGGCTGTAAACGCTTATCATCTATCTGGGAGCCTCACCTTAACTGTCATGCTTCCATTCCTTTTCCGAACACTGTATTGCAAAGAAGACCAGTACTACAGTATAAATATTTGAGAACGTTATGTGTTCATTATGTAAAGTAGCAACCAGTCATGTAAGAAAATATAAATTTGCAGGAGAATAGGCTAGAGTATTCCACACAGTCCTAAATTATGTGTTGTATGAGAAGATATTATTGGCGATAACTATGCTTTCTATCATCAAAAATGAAAATAAGCGAAGATTATCCGATTGTAGCACTAAAGAATTTGACAATAATCCTGAACCCTGTTTGCTGGAAGCTTAGAGAGTCGCGGCACAATGATAAAAAGCAGTTTTACTGCTGATTCCATTAGTCTTCTTGTTGCGGTTCATGAAATTCCATTACCATAAAGGATGCCAAATTATCTGTCTTCGAATCAAAACATAAGCTCCCTAGTCAAATAAAGAAGACAAACAAACGGAAAATTCTGAATCAAATTCGAAATTTAGAGGACCATGTAAAGAAACTCCTGGATCTCAAAGAAGAAAACATTAACCTTGTAAAGACACCAATATGTGCGTGTGCGTGTGCCTGTGCGTGTTCGTATGTGAATGCATGTTTTTTATTTTTAACGGAAATTGAACAATTTTCAGCTGCTACAATGTCTGCAGTGTGTCAGTTATTAGCGATGTGTAGCACTGTGGAATAATGCAGCATACATGTAGCTTAATATCCCACCCAGTCGCAATATCCTAACACCAGGCCGACCAGTCTTAACACTAACCTCTTAATGCTGAGCGCATGGCGAGACAGCTGTTAGTACAATTTTCTTCAGTTTTTGGTATGACTCGGTCATGGCTCAAATAAGCGCCCTCCCCCCCCGCATCCGCTAGGCCATCGGAATGGTCAAAGAATAAAAGTAAACAATATTTTAGTAGAGGCCGCAGAAATTTGAAAGAAGCTTAATAATAATCTGAGTGATGTTCTGAAGATGGCCAAACTTGAGGGAATTCGAAACAACGTGGAGTGGCTGCTCAGTAAACGAGAACAAAACTACCAGCGTCAGTCAAACTTTATCATAAGCTTTACTTTACCTGGAGGTAATAGAAGCAATTTGCTGGTAATCAACAGTTTCTGTCCATTTGGTAAACAATGATTCGTCTACAGTTCAGGTGACCAAAAGTATCCATTTAGTGTTGCACTAGACAGAGAAGATAATGTTTTTGTTGCTGATTATGACTCTAATAACATCTATAAGCTGGCAACTGAAGGCTACAAACTGCAGGTCGTCAATTCTGGCGTCATTAAAAGGTAAAGAAATGGTTTCTTCAATCATAATCAGAAATATCTCGTTGTCACAAATGTATGTGCCATTAAACCGAAAGTTGAAAAATGTTGCGTCTGAGCGAGACTAAAGGAAATTATTTCCGAAATGAAAAAGAATATATTTTCTTAGAAATAAGAACCATCCCGAAATTACACGTTTGAGTGAATGTTGCTTTTGTTATTTATTTACTGAGATTTCTTGTTACAAATACAATTATTTCAAACTATACGAACTGAAAAGTCACATCTCATGGCATGCAGGTCAATGTGCCTTTATTTCTTGGAAAGGGTTCTCTTTTAAAAACTGGACATGCAGACAATGTTCAGATCTAACAAATATACAGGCTTTATCTAGATGTTATTTATATATATTTTTCTAATTATTACGGAACTTCTCTGTCGACATTTTCCTGATCTGGAAAAGAGATTACCTTAGACCAATTAGACACTCGGGGCTCATTAAACGGAAAGATGTAAGAGTACTCATACATAGACAAAATATTGTCGACAGAATATTGTTGGATATTGATCTCTTCAAAGTAAACTAATAAACCGCTAATCTCGTCCTAAGGACTTTCTTTGATATAGAAGGAGTACTACATTACAACCAATAACAACAACAACAACAAGAATAATAATAATAATAATAATAATAATAATAATAATAATAATAATAATAATAATAATAATAATAATAATAATAATAATAATAATTAAAATTGTTTAAAGAATATCTGTCCATGCTATGCCTTTATCTGCCAAAGTCATATATCCACCAAAACAATTGTTTATAAATTACAATAAAACCCGATTACCAAACGAGTTTACAATTAGCTTTTAAATAAATAATTAAAATATATTCAGTGCAGAAGTTAAAATAAGCAAGTGATATTAAAGCAAAACTAGATGTGAAGAACAATGAACACTGTAAGAATAGTGTCTAGCTAAAGCCAAACACTCAGGGAGTAACAGCTACTTAAAGTCAAACACTGTAAATAACATCCAGATAAAGTCAAACACTGTAAATAACATCTAGCTAAAGCCAAACACTGTAAGTAACATCTAGCTAAAGCCAAACACTGGAAGAATAACACGTTGGAAATGACATCTAGTTAAAACCAAACAAGGTTGGAATGACAGCTATTTAAAGTCAAGTACGTAATTAAAATTAGACTGATTCAATTTGTTTGAAAGTTCAAGAGCAGTGTTCACAACTTGAATAATTGGTTCTGACCACTCTGCTTTTTACGGATTTTATTTAGGACACCGATCTCTGTTATCTAATTAATTGTATAATTATGTTTTATTGAAGCTAGAGGAGGGTTTTATTACCACTAAAGGATATCTCTACAAAGAGACTTTTGTTCTAATAAAATTCACAATGATTTTAAATCTTATATGCCCTTAATCTGATTTAATTATTCCAACTCGTTTCAACAGCGTAAGGCAAAATAGAATGTATAGAATTTTAATAAAAGAACGAATCTTACTGAACTTTTACTTTATAAGAAAAGCAACAGTTTAAAGACACTTTTTTCAACAACTATAGTGTCCATGTATGTCATACCAAAATTAAAAAGACATGGTGACTTCTTAAGTAGAACAGAAGAAGAAACCTCTGATAATCATAAAACAGAAGAATAAGCCTCAGAGAAACATTTGTACACTCACGATTCGTTTTCTTCTATTTAACTGTTTTTACTCCTTGCTCTTTGATTCACATAGGTTTGGTATTCTCTATAAAAACCACAGTTTATTTATGTTAGAACATTACTATTAATAATTAAATGCGCACCATGTCGCTTTTATAAACATGGATCTGTGAAGCTTGCTATGAGGTACACACTGAGTTCGATTATGAAACTGTTCATATGGACCGTTACATTTATATCACTCCAAGACTGTGCATTAGCTATTTCACAGCCAGGAATACATTTCACATTGATTGTTGATAGTCCGGTTTGGCGCGCTTAGTAGTTTTGATGTCATTTTATTATGACGAAAAGGTCATGGACGGTTAACTTTGTTTCGACAGATACATATTGGTGGGTTCGGAGGACCATCACGTTTTAGTTGCAGCATATGAACTGAATCAAGATGGTGGACAGGAGATCACAATCTTTGTTCCCTAAACTTCCGTTTCCGCTCTCGAATAAGATCGTTTTCATCGCTGATTGAATCTTGGTCGAAAAATC